AGCGGCCACCTTCTCGTTCTCACTTTCATCATCGGAAGAGCAACTTGATGAATCAATATCGGTGAGCCAATCACGAACAATGTATGCCTTGCCATTCTTCTTCTTCTTGTGGAAATCCTTCTTCTTGCCATCCTTCTTCTTATATGGCTTGTGTTTCTTCTTCTCATCATTGTCTTCATCACTTGAGTCATCTTTCTTGCCCTTGTACTTCTTCTTGTATTTGTCTTTCTTTGGCTTGGGACATTGATGTGCTAGATGACCAAGTTCTCCACAATTATAGCAATCCATCTCCGAGATGGGCTTCCTTCTATTGCTAGTGAAGAATTTCTTCTTCTTGCCATCAAACTTGACACCGTTCTTGTTGAGCTTCTTAAGCATCTTGGCAGTTCTTCTCACCATGAGAGCAAGACTTGCATCATTAATTTCATTATCACTTGAGCACTCATGTTCAACTCTTGCTTTGCTCTTCTCTTGGCTAGCTTTGAATGCCAAGTCTTTCTTCTTGGTGGAAGAAGAGCCATCTTGTGGTGTGATGTGCATATACATCTCATGTGCATTGATCTTTCCTAATATTTGAGTTGGTGTAGCGGTGGAAAGATCACCTTAATGAAGCACGGTCACAATATGCCCATATTTGTCAATGGGTAGACACTCAAGATCTTTCTTACAACATCGGATGGTTATATTTGTGTGAGTCCAAGCCCATTGACTTCCTCTACAAAAATATTTAAGCGTGAATACATCTCATTAGCACTTTCTTTAGGAAGCATCTCAAATGAATTAAGCTTTTTCATAACAAGATGATAGCGTTCCTCACGCTCACTCTTTGTTCCCTCATGGAGCGCACAAATGTCCGACCATAGTATATGGGCATCCTTGTGGTTTTGCACACGGTTAAAAACATCTTTGCAAAGGCCTCTAAAGATGGTGTTTCTAGCCTTTGCATTCCATTTTTCGTAATTAACTTCATCGCCTTGAAGGTTTGTGGGATCCTTAGGTTTTGGGAAACCTTGAGAGGCGGCTCTAAGAATTCCAACATCTAAAGCTTCTCAATAAGCCTCCATACAAATTTTCCATTAAGTAAAATCGTCTCCCTCAAAGATATGAGGTCCATCCCCGTGAGATATCTTTCTCTAGGCGGTTAAGCCTAATTTAGCGAGCACGAGGCTCCGATACCAATTGAAAGGATCAAGATGCCCAAGAGGGGGTGAATTAGGCTAATTCTAAATTCTTTGTAATAATTAAGTCCTACACTTAGCTCACTTCACCCCTTGTGCCTAGAATGTGATTCTAATGTTCTACCGCACAAAAGTTTTGCACCCTAAGTTCCAATCCTACTCTAGCATGGCAATTCTAGGAATGTAAAGACTTGAAATGAATTGCTCAAAAGTAAATGCTCAAAGTAAAGAGAGGAAAAGAAACGTGGCGATGTTTTGCCGAGGTATCGGAGAGTCGCCACTCCCCACTAGTCCTCGTTGGAGTACCCGCGCAAGGGTGTAGCTCCCCCTTGATCCACGCAAGGATCAAGTGCTCTCTACGGGCTGATTCTTCGACACTCCGTCGCGGTGAATCGTCCACAACCGCTCACAACTTGAGTTGGGTCATCCACAAGCTTCGTCGGATGATCAGCAAACTCCTAATCACCATCGAGCCGTCTAGGTGATGGCGATCACCAAGAGTAACAAGCACAAACTCTCACTTGACCACAATAAGCCTAATGAGAAGGGTGGATACACACTTGCTACTCTCCTTACACTAATGAGGACCTTAACCTCGGATTCTCAAATCTCAATCATCTCACTAGGCTCTTGCTCTCCTTGGCACTCTCAAGGTGTTTCTCAGCTGATCAAATGGATAAGAGACCTCTCTTGGACGAATAGAGTGAGTATTTATACCCCCTCATTCAAAACAAACCGTTGGGAGGCTGGGTCAGCACTCTGCGGGATGACCGGACGCTCTGATCAGGGTGACCGAACGCTCTAGTCAGTTGTCCCCGCCACTGTGTGAGAAAGAGCCGTTAAGTTCTGACCAGACTCTGACCTACGTCCGGTCAGCACTGACCGGACGCGTTCGGTCAAGAAAAACGCTCTCTGGAACCTTACTGATGTTGACCGGATGCTGGCACCCAGAGTCCGGTCACTTCGTTGTTTAGCGTCCGGTCAGTTACTGGATCCTGACCAGCGTCCGGTCAGCACTGACCGGACACGTCCGTTCAGGAAATTCCCTCTTTGGAATCTCTCTGGAGTTGACCAGACGCAAGCACCCAACGTCCGGTCACTTTTCACTCAGCGTCCGGTCGCAACCAAACGACTTCAGTTTGATCAAATGAACTGACCGGACTCAACCGCCAGCGTCCGGTCACAACCAGACCAGCGGTCGGTCAATATTTGACCCTCCATTCACTTCCACCTCGAAATCCTATGTGAATGAAGTTTGCTCCAATTGATCTTAGGGCTATTTCTGAGCTACCTAGTGCTAGTTTTGACAAGTGTGCACCACACCTAACCCACTAGACTCACATAGGTCAAGCTACTAGTCCATACCCCCTTAATAGTACGGCCAAAGGAAAAACAAAGTCCTAAACTACTCTAAGTGTTTCTCCAACGTCAAACGACACTTAGAACTAGTTCGTCCTTAACCTTGTCGTTCATCCTTTGAAAACCAAAACGATTTTCATCGTCAGGGGCATGACCACCATGATTGCCCAATCAATTGCCATTACCATGACCTAACTTAAATTGTCTCTGCAAAACATACGTTAGTCATAGTAATCTCGCGTTGTCATTAATCACCGAAATCCAACTAGGGCCTAGATGCTTTTCAGGATAACACCGACTACTAGTGTCGTGGTGGTCTCCAGTTCTCAAGTATATGAAGGTGTGAAATTAAAGGCATATGTCATTAGCAGAGAGAGTCCTTCGATCGTTGCTGACGGCGAATTCCCTCTCTTCTCCCGTAGATTTTCAGTTGGGTAGCCAACAAGATCGGCGGGAAGCAAGAACCAAAGCGATCTGCCGCGAATACTACCGCACCAACTTATCGTAAGCCTACTTTGCAAATAGTATATATTTCGCTTCCTTCACATGTAAATTCTTTCATAGCTTTCTTTGTCGGGTAAAAATTCCTTTTGATGTCTGCAATCTTTATTTAGCGCACATACGCCGCTTCAGGTTCTCAACACACGGTTTTTATTTGAAGTCTTCTTGCATAGCAGATTGAACTTTCTTTTTCTCTCATGAGTGGTCATGAATACCTCTCCTTCATATCAACTTCTTAATCTCTCTATTTCCTTGCATGAATGCACATAAATATCTCTGATTAGTTGATCCTCTTGATTAGTTGTCTTGCATGGTTGATGCACTTCAAAATGCCCGAGGTGAATGTTTTTTTCCCAAGATTTTCCCTTCCTTGCTTTAGGGCCTGTTTGGTGCGGCTCTCGCATGGCTCCAGGTCTGTCTCCGGCGGTGGTGCCGCACAAAGTGGTGCTAACAGGAAGAGCGCTTCTAGCATTGAGTAGCGAGGAGACATTTTTATTTACGGAAGGCGAAGCCACAAATCGGGGCTTCGGAACTCCGGCTTCGGCTCCAGCACGCGGAGGAGCCCACCAAACACCCTCTTAACGAGTGCTAGTGAATAAGATGATCGGGGACTTTTGAGTCTCCTTCCTTTCACGTTCTGCTTCAATACTATATTCTTCTTTTCATGATCTATAATTCTATATGCTTCTCGGGAAGGTGATTATTGTTAGCAAGTTCTTTTGAGTTGCCTTTTCGAAGGAAATGAAAAGGAGAAGATAATGTACTCAACTCAAAGTCCTGTCATAGTTCTTTTCCGGCAATGCTGGTGTTCATTTTGCTGATCACGTACCAGTTTCGATGGTTCAGTCATACTCCTATCTGTCAACAGTCAATACTGTGGGTTCTGATATGTTCACAAATATCTTCCAATAATATGCTAAGGAAATATATAGCAGTTGATGCATGAGCGCTAGTGCGCTACAGTACATGTCATTATGTTCTTTTCCTTCATTTTCTTTGCATCTACTTTCTGATTTTCTATAATTCAAAACCTTTCTTTCGATGGTTCCGTACTAATGATACAAAATTGTCCACTTGAGTTACATTTCTAACACAGAATGCTTGCCTCGGATGGTTCCCTACTAAGGGATCAGATCTGAAGGTCAGTGGTTCATTTCTTTGTTATTTATTATTCTTAGAAAGGCTAGATGGTGGTAAACATTTTATGTGATTGGGTGATCTGATATTCAGGTTGAAACATCGTGGTAGAAGTAAGGCTATGATGGTACAACGTGGTAAACATCTTCTCATCAGTGATGCTTCCATGTTTAAAATTACCAAAATTAGTGGTCCATGATTTTATGCTAATATATTCACGTGGGACCATGATATTTTGGCAAACTAATTTACTGAAACATCAACGTTCAGAATGTCGCAATGATTAAAGTTAGGAATTTTTCTCATCAGTGATAGGCTAATGTTCGAAAACAGGGCATGGTATGACAATTCTTATCATTGGCAGGTAGCTTCATCAACGATTTATGAACAAATTAAGAAGAAATCAAGTATTTCCATCAACTGCAAAAATGAATTTCATGTAGGACCATAGATTTTCTTTTTCTCAAGTGTTTTTAAGTAAAAGGGACCATCATTAAGAAGAAATAATGCGCAAGATAGCGATCCCCTATGGAGAGGAAGAGCGGCTTCCGGGGTCTTTTCTTCTTGCTTGCTAATCCATCTATCCATAGCATTTTCATAACATTAAGGGACTTGTAGTTCAGGCTAAAACAATAAGCACCCTATATATTGATTTAATAGATACTACAGGAATTCATTATTACCAAAGGTATTTTACAAGTGGCCAACAGTTTTACTACCTTGTATGTATCAACATTCAATCAACAATAATAGATACAATCTATTCCATGTGGAAAGAAAACTTAGATTATTGGTGGTGTCTTTGCAGAAATAAATGGATTATGATCAAGACAATGAACTTGAAGCCCTGGAGCGCATATTGATAGATTCAAGTGTGGAGCCAATCACATAGTAAGTGAACGAGATGCAAATTAAGAAGGCGCAGTGACTGGTAAGATACTGCAAATTTAAAGAAGAAACTGGCTGTACCTTCTCCATTCTTGTTTGGGGAAAGGAGTTCCTTGGCTCCAGAACCGGGGTGGTAAACCCGCCCTTGCACGCGAGTAATCTAAGGAGCGAAGCCATCAATCTTGGCTTGAGCTTAGCACTCTTTTTCTTCCCTACTATTTCTCTCGCTTTGCTTATGATCATCTCCCTGTTCATCAACTGCTCCCTGCGCTGCTTCTCGTTGTTATCTTCGCCGTCATGTTGTTTCGAAGCTACCTGTTCATCTTCACAGGAGCCCTGAGCTTCTGCTTGACCATTGCCTTGCAGCAGCAGCACCTCGAATTCTCTTCGTATATTGTCTACTTCCTCCTCTGTAAACTTGGCGGGATCTTGAATGGTCTGAACATTCGCGGAAGAACTCTCTGCTACTTCTTCCTCGAGCTGCTTGTTTCCAAATGTCCCAACTGCAAGCAATGATTGGGGCCAATCACTGAACTCATCGTTGCGACATTCTGATACGTTGCCACCTGCGCATTATTAGAAGTAAATTAGTTTGCCAAATCAGTACACAGAAACAAAAAAATCTATGGTCCTACGTGAATATATTAGCATAAATTGGCAGTATGGAACATGGACCACTAATTTTGGTAATTTTAAATCGTTGCTGTTTCCATGAGCCTATCACTGATAAGAAACATGTTTGCCCTGTTTTCGTTAGCCTATCACTGATGAGAAACATGTTTGCCCATGCTTACTCCACACCACGATGTTTCAACCTGAATATCATGCTGGTAATCACCCAATCACATAGCAGCATCCGAAGATGTTTACCACCGTACCATCTAGCCTTTCTAAGAATAATAAATAACAAAGAAATGAACCACTGGCCTTCAGATCTGATCCCTTAGTAGGGAACCATCCGAGGCAAGCATTTTGTAATAGAAATGTAACTCAAGTGGACAATTTTGTATCATTAGTACGGAACCATCGAAAGAAAGGTTTTGAATTATAGAAAATCAGAAAGTAGATGCAAAGAAAATGAAGGAAAAGAACATAATGGCATGTACTGTAGCGCACTAGCGCTCATGCATCAACTGCTATATATTTCCTTAGCATATTATTGGAAGATATTTGTGAACATATCAGAACCCACAGTGTTGACTGTTGACAGATAGGAGTATGACTGAACCATCGAAACTGGTACGTGATCAGCAAAATGAACACCAGCATTGCCGGAAAAGAACTATGACAGGACTTTGAGTTGAGTACATTATCTTCTCCTTTTCATTTCCTTCGAAAAGGCAACTCAAAAGAACTTGCTAACAATAATTACCTTTCCGAGAAGCATATAGAATTATAGATCATGAAAAGAAGAATATAGTATTGAAGCAGAACGTGAAAGGAAGGAGACTCAAAAGTCCCCGATCATCGTATTCACTAGCACTCTCGTTAAGGGGGTGTATGGTGGGCTTTACAGCGTGCAGAAACTAAGCCGAGAACAATCTAAGTCCCGATTTGTGGCTTACCATGCTAGAGTGGATTAAATAAAATGTGTCTCCTCACTACTCAATGCTAAAGCGCTTCTCTAGCCAGCACCACTTGAAGCGGGCCACCGCCGAGACAGACTTAAGCCATTGTAAAGAATTTAGCAATTAAACAGGCCCAAAGCAAGGAAGGGAAAATCTTGGGAAAAATCATTCACCTCGGGCATTTTGAAGTGCATCAACCATGCAAGACAACCTAATCAAGAGGATCAACTAATCGAGATATTTAAACGGGCAAAACATGCAAGGAAATAGAGAGTTAAAAAGTTGATATGAAGGAGAGGTATTCATGACCACCATGAGAGAAAAAGAAAGTTCAATCTGCTATGCAAGAAGACTTCAAATAAAAACCGTGTGTTGAGAACCTGCAGCAGTACATGTGCGGAATGGGATGAAGATTGCAGACATCAAAAGGAATTTTTACCTGACAAAGAAAGCTATGAAAGAATTATAGGCAAGGAAGCGCAATATATACTATTTGCAAAAGGCGGGCTTACGATATAGCTGGCGCGGCAAGAATTCCGAGTAGATCGCTTATTGCTGGAGGTGCACCGGAGCTATCTTGTTGGCTGCCCAACTTCCGAGGCTCGTTTTGAGCGTTCGGAAGCAGCTGGCATGGCCGGCGCAACGATAGCTACTCTCTGCTGCTGACGATGCCTTTCATTTCACACCTTCATATCCTTGAGAACGGGAGACCACCCAGTCAGAGACTGGACGAGGAGAGAAGCTTATCACTTGGGCGCTAACAAAGTAAACAGGACACTGCATCATTTGCAGTGTGAGTCTCATTATTTTTTAGCAAAAGCACTATTAAATAGTTAGAGTAAGTGTCATTTAAAAAATCAAAATAACCGATTAAATGGAATGAGTCCGTGTAGCGCTTGCAGCGTGTAAATGGCCCCTGACAGTTTAGGGAGAACGGTGCCAAAAAGTACGGCAGCAGTACACGAGGGAATGGGATGAGGGATCAGCCTAGCTGAAGTGAGAGCCGGCCCCAATGGATCGGCAGTCGTGCAGATATAGGCAAGCGACACGTGTGTTCCAAGGCTTTCTCGGTGGCGGCAATCGGCGATATAGGATTGGCGGGCGGACAGAACCGAGTAATGCTAAATTATTGCATTGGCTGGAGGTGGATGCACCGACGACGACGCACGATGGAGCAGCTGTGACTCAAGTTCCGAGGCTCGTTTTGGATCGTTCGGCCGGCAGCTGGCATGGCTCAACGTGATAGCTACCCTGCAAAAAGCTTCTGCTGCAAGCTCCCTGCAGCTGTACGTCACGTTGAGGATCATGCCACTACTGCACGTAAATCGTGATCAATTGATCCCAGTCAGAGACTTTTCGAGGAACGAGAGCTTATCACTTGGGCAGAAACAACAAAGCCGGGATGGGACATCGCAAAACGGCGGTGTGAGTCTGATATTTTCCAAGCAAAAGCACTATAAATAGTTAGAGTAGATGTCAAAGAGTGTAAAATCAAGAAGCCAGTTGGTTAATTATTATGAGGCTCGAAACTGCATGCATGTCCTCTGCCCCATGCCCACGTGGAGAGGAGAGATTGAAAAAGGGCGTGGGCGCGATCAAGGGCCAGGGCGGCCAAGTTGCGCACAAGTGTCACGACCGCACCACAACGGATCCCATCGTGCCTGGTGGAGCCCCGACGCGTGTGTGCCAAACCCCGTTACCCCGGCACTAAGCAAAGGGGTTAGCAGCATGAAGGCGCTTACACCGATGCTAATGCCCCCTTAATTACCCCATTGCATTGGCTGGAGAAGCTGGATGGAGGACGACGACGCACGATGGAGCAGCTGTGACTGTGAGCCACACGGTACGGCGTATTCGGATCTCTCTCGGTACGGCGGCTCAAGCTCAACAATGAGCACGCCCCTGCAAAAAGATTCTGAAGCCTTCAAGCTCCCTGCAGCTGTACGTACCGCGGCGGATGATGCCACTGCGTATAAATCACTATCAATTCTTCTTTCTTATTTTTCTTTTTCAAACAACGTAGTTTGAATTTTGATGCATATGTAGTGAGTTCGTAATTGATTTTTAGCCTGTGAGTTGACAATATATCAAATACACTTTCTTAGTAAATAGTACTACTTCCTCAAATTTGCGCAGAACTTCCAGAGCAACCCTAAACACTAAACCAGATTTGACCAAACGTCAGGTCAGGTTTGGGTTGAGCCGAAAAAAATTGATTAGGTCAAAAAAAATTTTGCCCCAGCCTGACCCCATGCACTGTGAGGTCAAACTATTTCTTGGTTTTGGCACTTTGGGTCGGTTTTTTCGGATTGGGTTGGAGCACGGGTCAAAATTTCTTGCCCTAACCTAACCTGATGCGCTGGTGGGTCAGAACTTTTTTCAGACAGACCAGGTTGAGTGGCCCATGTATAGGTCTACACTAAATTGTAGGTCTAGAACCAACCTTTAGGACATAGTTACTTGTAATTACTAAATGGCCTATCCTTGAATCCATAATCAACAATCATCTAAATATTAAAAAAATCATCATGCCTCTACTTTATGACAATCCAAATACTCAATCACCACTCAAAGTATAACTCTACCAAGAAAATCAGTTACCAACCAAGTTATATGATAAAGAGAGTGCTATAACCAATACTTGATACAGGGTTTACGTGGAAAACATCCTTGTGGAGAAAAATCATGAGCCATGATGAGAAATCCATTATGAGATAAACCAATAAATAAGGTGAGAGCTAACAAATAAGAAGAGGCTCTAAATGCTCCCCACAACTCTCTCGCCTTTTTAGTGCTGGATTTCGGAGCTGCTAGTGCCCGGACGTCTGTCCAAGATGCTAGCATCGGACGCCTGCCAGTTGTGTACTCGGGATGCGGTGGCAGCTGAATACTTGCAATGCCTTCCGCAGTTGTATACACAGGATGTCTTTGACAGCAATATATTCACTGATGACCATTGGATGACAGCTAGTATATTTTAAAATTTCCACAAACATTAATATCATGTTGCAAGCAACATACATTGATTATATCTTTTGTGGCGCCGTTTTGGTCAAGTCTACTGAAACATTGATGTTATGTTGCAAGTGTTGAATTTTAATTGGGCTTGGCCAATTTTAATTCAATTAAAATCAAATAAATCTGAAGGCCATATTAAATGATAGGTACAGCGAGCGAGCGAGCACCCCAAAGATGGGCCCCATGAAGCAGCGCCTTGACGCCGCCACGCCACCCACGCGAACATCATCATCGCTGCGCCGCCAGCCGCTTCCCACGCATATCCCATGTGCAACACCCGTTCTACTTTTGTAACATCCAGATGCAACAGTTGTAACATATAAAAGAAGATAGATGAAACACTTGAAACAAACGTATGAAACATTTGCGAAAACACCTAAAACACTTGAAAATCATTACAAACATATGCAACATTCAAATACAACAGTTGCAACATACAAATGAAGACAGATGAAACAAGCGTCTGAAACATTTGCGAAAACGCCTAAAAACACTTGAAAATCATTGCCAAAATACGCAACATCCAGATGAAACACTTGAAATAGATGTATGAAACACCTGAAACACTTCAAACACATGCTTGCAACATGCATATTCTACTTTTGCAACATCCTGATAAGACTCTTGTAACATACATCTATAACAGATGAAACATTTGAAACATACACTTGAAACATACGTGTATAGCCATTACAACATGTCCAACATCCCGATCTGCTTTTTCAACATCGATATACAACACTTGCAACATACCTCTGAAATATCTGAACCACTTGAAACATACTCTTGCAACATGCGCTTTCAGCGTAGCATCTACTTGCTGCTTGGACGAACGGAGGCTCGTCAACGCAGAGCTCGACGTCGGCGTGAAGCTCGATGCCATGGAGTGGCGCAGGGGATGCCTGTGGGCGGCGGCTGGGCTTCACGACGGCCACCAAGAGCTGTTGTGCGGCTCCCAATGACAGGGCAGGCGGGTGCGGTGCCCCGTGGTGGAGGCGACAGCGCCGAGCAACTATGTTGCTCGCGGCGAGCGTCCCCCGCGCTAGGAAGGTGAGCGGCGGGAAGGCGGCGCGGTGGAGTCGGCCGCGGAAGACGCATGACGCGCGGTGAAAGAAGGCCACGACGGGAAGGGATGCGGAATCGACATTTATTTATTTATTTATTTTATGAAGAAACCGGAGCAGGCACGTATTGGGCTCCGCATGCCCATGAAGGCTGCGTCCGAAGCATCAGACGCCCTGAGGAGAACATTTCCGTAGATAAAAATTGTTTATAGAGAGGTGGGCTAACAGACACCCTGATCCTAGCATTATCTTAATTTTTGTAACTTGGCTTAAAAACATAATGAAATTATGTCATCCTATATAAATGAACTATATATTATGAAAGTATTGGTCGTAATAAGTTTAATTATAAGGTTAACCTAAAAAAAGTGTCAGATATTTATGGCCAAAGTAAAAAAAAATTGACTTAAAACAAACCTAAAATGCCTTCAAATTTCCTAATGTAGTTGGTATCTAGTATAACTCATCTACAAGTTTGTGGTAAAGCGCCACGATGTTCTTTTGATATGCGCGAGTGCAAGTATCATATTTGGTACATGGTCCACTAGTAATATATAGATATAGGTTCTAGTATAAATAATCTATATTTCTGTTTAATGATTGTGATAGCCAAGATAGGAGCTAAATGTGATGAAAAAAGCGGGAAGGAACCACGGGAGTCAAAAGTAACCTCACAGACGCTCGGGTTTCCCTTTGGGGGCAGCTTTGGATTTCCAACAAAAATGTCCCTGAAGTTTCAGGTTATTACAACGACTCTCTCTCTTCGGCCCAACAAACATATATAAATATATATAAACATCATTTTAAATATAGACCTTAAACGGTGAAATAGGCGTTGAAAATATCACACTTATGCACGAATCTAAAATGGCCCTAGTATAGAATCAAAAGGAGTATACGGTTTAGGGGACTGCAGATAAAGTAGTCGCCAGAGAGGGTTGGAAGAGATGAGAACGAGGTCTGCACCCTTTGCAGGTAACGCCACTGCAGACAGAAGGGCTAGACGCAGACCCATCTATCTGCAGCCTCTGTCTGAACCTTTCCGGTATCGGCAGCACACTTCACTGTCGATTTGTGCAGTGGTAGCATATCTGGGCTACCGGATCAGTACGTGATGACAGGTGATGATGGGCATACCACGTAGCCTGCTCGCATTTCACACAGGAGCGAGGACAGTACCAATACAAGGAGAAGTAGTACAAGCAAACAAGTCTCGCTCGTGTCGCAAGTACGCACAATGATGCACTCCAAAAATCGCGTGGATGGATCGGGTTACAATTACATAATAACTGGTGGCTTTTAATAATGTAGGAAATTAATGGACGTACTGCGTGCGGCCTCGGGCCTGTTTTCCTGGATGCGATCGTGCAAGGGACGGACGACGAACGAAGAGCATGTGGTGCGTGCCGGGCTTGGCGACGAGAAGATAGCAAGGATCGATTCGATCGGCGTCGTTGTCCCCCGGCGCGCGCGCTGGCCTGACCTCGACATGCAGGAGCCACGTACGCCACGCCACCCTGGAGTGGACTTTTCTTCGCTCGCTCGCTCGCTCGATCGATCGGCGGCAATGGCAATGCGTGCGTGCGCCAAACACGAAGAGAATTTAGATGGAATAGAGTTGGAATCCCCTTCCCTCGCCTGATCGAACTGAACCCTCCGTCAAGCATGCAGTATCGGGGAAACTGTGCGACGTCCGACGACTTGGCTGGCAGCGACCTGCGAGGCGTTCGCCGTGGGAGAATGGTCAAATGAAGCTGCGCGTCGTGTATATATGTACTATGAAGTGTGTGGATCAAATGGTCCCGTAGCTATGGAGGATTAGGGGCAGCTAATTGTAGCCACAAGCTAGCTGCCATCAATAACCTCGTATACTAGCTAGTAGTAAAAACTTGTTCCTACTCCCTTGACTCGTGTCTCGATCTGTTATGTTTGTATCAAACAAGGAATGTATGGTGGTCCTGAATGAATGTTCAATCGCCGAATGCGTTTACTAAGACTGAGAAGGAGGTGTTTCAACATTATTATTTCTTGGTTGGACCCTACAATTCCGTACAGAACCGATGATTAGGGTACGGTCTTAAACTTTTTATTGAAGAGGTTTGAGAGCTTAATGGTTGTGTACATTCCTATTTGGTGCAGGGTTCCCAAA